TTTAACATTACTCAACTTGTCAACCATAAAAAACAATTACCAACAAAGTGTGAAAGGAAAGGAGAACTTGATCAACTCACCGTAAAATGGTTTATGCCTCAACGGTTGAAATGTATTGATAAACAGTTTCTCTTTGTCAAATGTGTATCTCATCCAGTAAAAGAAATATCGTCGAACAAATGGAAGCGCATCGAAAATCTGAAACATTACAAATTTGGAATATTAACAAAATCTTTTTTGTACACAAATGACCTGTTTCGCTGTTGGTCGATTGAACGGGACTCGCTTGTCTATCGGTGTTCGATCTCCTCGTGCTTTCCAACCCGGTCCAGTGAGTTCTGGAGGCAGCCGTGCATGCTCGGTCTCCGTGTTGTCCATATCCTGCTGTATTGCCTGCGCAGCCATATTTGCTCGTTTTTTGGCCGAGCTTGCCCGCTCTGCTTTACACATCAACGGGATGCAGTTCCTATAAAATTTGGTGAAATACCGCATGTATTTAAATTCAGATTGAATCCCTCTCAAAAATTATAATTATGAAAAAAAAAGAACATACATTGCGGAAAGGTCGGAATACAAACCAATGAAGGGTTCCAAGTTTTCAATGTTAAACCAGTGCAAAGGCGGGGCATATGCAAACAGCGCAAAGTACACAGTCACAACGCTACCGAGAGCTTGTTTGCGCAAACTCGCCTACCTATCTTGGTCCAGGATCAAATCTACAACAGCAATGCGCTTGTAGAAGGAAAATAATACAGCACTTTTCGAAATTAATGTAGAGGGAATGAGAAATCTAATTTGGGAAAAAAAATAAAGCAGTTTTGTATGTGTTCGGTAGAAGGAAATTCAGCAACGAATCCAATGATTCGGTTATAATATTCAAAGTACAGCCCCGATTGCCTTGGCTCTATTCAGAAAAATTTTATTGGTTATCAATCAAATGATATGCACTTGCTGAATACTTACATGTGATGGGCCTACAGTTAATAAAAATGTTCACATCGAACCATACAACGTGCCCTACTAGACAACATCATAAGAACATAGAAAATATGGGTCATGATTTGATTTCACAACGTTAGATAGTTCAATATATTTTGATTTCGTTGTGAAAGTTGGTCTTTGTCCCTTCTCAATAAATTTCAATTAAGAGAGGAGTGAAGCAAACTAAAAAGTCTGGGGAAAATAAGGAATTCCTCTCAGTTATCAAGTCCCGAATATCTATTGAGCCTTAGTCGATATTTGATCACTAAACTTTGCAATTAGCTATACAGTTCAAATGACAGATACGTCTGATCAGCCCTGCACGTTTGCAGCTGTGCTTTGATAGTATGGGTGCCGATAAAAGAGCAATTGCTATGACTGCTACTCGATTTAGCGCATAAACACAAAGATTGGCAGCCCTGGTTCTCCCGCTTATTGATTTCCTACGAGATCCATGTGAAGATAAAGATGTAAGAAGTCAAAAAGTCATCATTTCTGAATCGAACTTTCCGGACCAAATAAGTTCTACTTGAAAGGAAGCACTTTCAGTATCAGGTTAGAAAATCATGACCTAATTGGTCAAATGGCAAAAACTCGCGTGCAGGATTAGCATAAATTTTACCTCTCCGCATTATAAAACGAGCGCAGGCCTTAGACCCCTACTACGATAGAAGTAGATATTAAAAATTTAATCAAATTCGACGTAACTAAACCTCCAATGTCAAGTGACATCGCTTTAATAAAAATTTGCATATAGCACTGGTGACGAAACTACTAATCGATTGTTCAACTTTTTCGATTTTAACCTTTTACAAAACTCATACTCAACTTTTCTTAATTGGAAGCCAAAATGAAGATACATACTTACAAAGTAAAGGTATGCTTTATAGATAAATCAGAACCTGATGGTGTGCTTAACACATAGGATTAGCAAGTAACACAAAAAAGTAGTGTTGCTGAGTTATCAGTCATGAAACAGTTGGTATGTGCACTCATTAGTACTACCTACGCAGTGTAAGACAGACAAAGCGATATCCTCCATAATAATAAAAAGGTAAAAAGGTAGATATAAAAGGGAAATTTACTGGCAAAAGTTCTGCATGCCATATAACAAGGAACTATCATTGCTGATATTGAAAGGCAGAAAAGTATTATTGTTCGAGAGAGCTTCATACTTCCGGGGTAAGCGCCGAAAAATCAATTGCTCACAAATGCATTCAAAATGTCTGAGTCAAAGCTCTGAGACAAAGCTT